GACAAACTTGCTTAAGGGATAGGTGGAATTGAGTGGTTACTGAGGCATGAAACATTCGCTGTCTCCCATCCTCCATCAGCTTGATCTTGCTAATTTCCCTTCATCCTGCTGTGCTGCTTCTGTGGCCCTTCGTGTCCTTGTGTAGGTGTTTGTCTCGTCCGTCTGATCTTGTGTCTGTGTTGTCCAGTTCTCCCTGCAGTTTCTTCCTGTGTGTCTGTTTGTAGATGAAGGGGCTGAGGATCAAGTGGGTCCTCTACACAGGTTCCCCAGCCATGAACCTACCACCAGCGGGGAGAGGCGTAGACTCCTAGCCCCCTCCATCTCGGTGTCTGTGCCTGATGATGACCCTTACAATTCCGATGAGGAGTACTATGAGCATCCTTTGTTCAGCTCAGAATGGACCACCTCTAGTGTGCTCCCCAGTGTCACAGCACAGAATGCAGAGGCCCACTTAGGCCAGGAGAAAGGTGAACCAAGCATGGTCCCCTTTTGCTCCTCCTCCCCGGCCTGCAGCTTTGACCACCTGCATCATGTTAAGTGTGCCTTCATACAGGGTGGGAGGGATAGGAGCCTGTTTTCTCTGCATGAAAGTGAAGTTCCTATATAAGTTGAATCTATCCAAATGCCTTAACAATTTATATAAAAGAAGCCTTACTAGAGGCATGTGAGCACTTCCTTTTTCTGTATCATTGCTTCTGAGAAGAAAGAGAGAGAGAGAGAGAAGCAAAAAACTATTCTGTTAAAGTATGACTTCTTTCTGCTCCCTGCCAATAATCAGCGGGGGAAGAACATATTCTTACCCAAACCAAACAAGATGACTCTTAATATAATTTTTTTACTCCTTAGACACATAATGTTACTATTAAATAGTATCTTTAAATAGCATTAGCTTTCTTTTTAGTGCTGTATTAATATGATAGATCTTTAAAAGAGAAAGAATGAAGAATCTGTTTAGAGCAGAATAAATGTTACAGAAACAATGTACTTCCCCATATCATGTAATCATCTACAGAAACTACAGAGGCTTCCCCAGGTGACTAAATCTTGGCCCACATCAGTAGAGCTGGACTAAAATGAAGGAAATGATTCAAAGCCTTTGTCATTCTAGCCTTATAAAGCTGGGAGACTCAAGTGTATAATTGGTTATCGTGAGGATAAAATAAGTAGGTGATGGGTTGCAATATGTCTCATTCTAACTAGGTAGTTTTGGTAAAGAAAAAAAAAGATACAGCTAAATATATTTTTGCTTAGGCAAAGAGTTTATTTCCAAAAGGGACAATATTTAATATGAAAGCAGATAGTTCTAAAGCAATAAGGAATAAGCTTACAGCTCACCAACTACAGTCATCATAATAAGCGTCTTCAAGGACCCTTTTGAAAACAGAACACCAATAGCTCAGGCTCTCCGATAAAGAAATATAAGTCCTATTAAGTGAAACTAAGTTCTTCTAAACTGAATTTCTAAAATATGTGTGTTTTTAAATAAGGAACAATTGTAGTGGAAATAAATATGATTTATACCAAATGAGAAAATGGAAAGCTAATAAGCTACATGGATTTGAAAACATGTACATTAACTTGATTAGACTTTATTCAAAAAGGTAACATTATAGTGCAGTTATATTAAAATTCTTTTAACTGTAATCAAAATCTATGACATTATAAAATTTTCCTAAAATAAGTTAGAATCTAAATTTTTAAAATGCTACTTTAAATTCCATAATTAAATTACAAAAATAAAAATGAGTGCTAAATGTGAAGAGATAACGTAGCTTTTTATTTCTCTCTCTCTCTCTCTCTGTTTCTCTCTGAGGATATTAATATTTCTAAAAAAAAAAAAAAAAGAAAATTCCTTTTCTTCTTATCTGTAGTCTTTCCCTCAGGGCCATTTAAACAATGCACAATTATTTCATAAGAATTTTGTAAGAATATTTCATTTACAAAACTATAAAACAGCTCATATACTTCTCTCTAATTCCTTAAGTGACAAAATGGGATTTACTTTTTTTTACTGACATTTCAAGTGTAAATGAGAAACAAATTAGTGCAATAACTCATGGACTTGAAAAGTTTATCTTTACATCTTAAATGTTAACTTTTTTATTTGATATACATGGTTTGGGGGGTGGTTATTTTGGCCGTTTGATTGCCACTCAATGATCTTTCCTTGATGATTTTGTTTTGAATTACAGAAATAAGACTTTATTACTAATGTGCATATTTTTTCTTTAGTGTCAAAGAAAATTATACATGAACTGATATTTACTGATATTTCAGGGAGTTAAACAATATGGTAATAGTTGTGTCCCAGAGGTAGACTTTTCTAAACAGATTTAAATTTAACCTTGACCTTGTTTTTAACATATTTTATTTTACTTACTTCTTGAAAATGTTCATTTTCTCCACCATCATAATGCAATGAAGCTAACATAACTTGACTTAGGTAGTCCCTTACCTTGTAAATGCTAAATAAATTGTATTTTAAGTAAATTTGGTGGACTTTGTGATAAAGCTGTTAAGGTAGTTGGTTGGATATTCTTTTGAGGCAAGGCTTTTTTTGTTCCCAAAGATTTCTTTAGCAAAATTTGCACATTTTAAATAAAGCAGCCGGGAATTCTTATGTAGGGGCTTCCTGCATTGGCGAAAACAGCACATGTCTAACAAATTTAAAGACTTTTTTTTTCAGTACATCAGTACATCCATCTTTTCACAACCATCTGTTATCCGGCAGCACCATCTCTTATTTCCAGCAAGCTTTCCACATGCGTGCAACTTACTGCCATTTCCAATAAGGGTAATCAATCAATACAACCCTTTCAGCTCTCAAATTTTAAAATAAATTGCCTTTTAATGAGACGTTAAAAGTCATCACTATTAGCAGATTATACATCATAGTTTTCCAACCAGTACATAATGTATGTTGCATTAGAATATTAATTTGTTCATCCAAACGGTAAAATAAAAAAGACAGCTGAGGTCTTCATGAGGTCATTCTAATGGAGCTGAAAGTGTTCCTTTAGTAATATTTCTGTCGTTTCATGTATTGTTCTGTGGTCATGATGTCAACATCTTTTTCATCCCTAAGAAGAAGAAACGCTAGAGAGTCGGATGACTGAGGAAGAGAAACCTGCTGCTCTTCCTGAGAAAGAGTGTGGGGCTGCTAAGTCCTCAGACCAACCCAAAGGCCTCAGTAAGGGCCAAATGGAGGCTAGTGCGGAGGCCCAAATAGTTCCCGAAGAGAGTGCCCCGGCAGGGGCCCCACATGAGAAAAGTGTAAAAGAGGTCAAGGAGGTGTCTCCAGAAGTAAAAACCCCTTCCTCTGCTGGGGAAGGTGTGTCTTTCTCAGGATTTGCATGTGTTTTGTTGCAAATGATCTCTCCAGTGGCTTACCAACCTGATGCCTTTCCAATGCTATTTCGCTATTTCATCGCTGGGTCTTATAACAAGTCCACTGTTGTAGGCTTCATGTGCAGAGAGCGTGGCTTGCGCAAGTGCCTTGTGGCAGCTTGGTTTTCCAGTGCTGTAGCTGATTCCTGGTTTTCCTTTGCCATGATACAATACGCTTTGCAGCCAGGCTGATGATGCTATGTGAGCTTCTTTTTTTATTTTATTATTTTTTTTTTTACCCGCCCCCCTCATCTCAAATGTTTGCCAGTCACATTGCTAATACATGTATATTTTTGTTTTTATTTTGGGGACAGCAATTCATATGCTTTTATTTCAAATCGTACAGTTGGATTTTGGCACATAGAGGCTTAAATGGTGGAATCGTTTTTGTTTGCAACCAAAATGTGCTATATTTTTTATGCTTCAATGTATACTGGTTTGATTTTCTTGAGCTCCTGCTGATGCTTCTTATATCATTTTCTCCCCATGGCAGCCAACCCTTCTGATCATCCCCATATCTCTTAAGTTTTCATTCATCTAACCTTTATTAGAAGTTCATAAAGTATTTTTTTTCTATTGTTACAACAGGACACATAAGTATATAAGGTAATGATGATCCATACACTTGCTCTTTTAGAGATGGTTGAATTTTATTATTTTATAAAAATGTGTTATCTAATTTCTGTGGAGCACTTCTAAAGCCGATACTGGCCAATGCTTCACCAGTTGGTCATGCTGCAGGAATTGAGGTCATGACCATGGGAATAAAGTTATTTCAATAGTTGACTGTTTTGAAAAGTTTGTTACTCACATGACTTCCCAGTATCAACAGTGTAATTCAGATTTTCTTATATCTATCGTACAGACTAAGTAATGATTAGGAATTTAAATTTTTCAATATGTGATAGAAACTGGCTTGTAAATTCTTAAGTCATATCATATAAAATTGATAGCAAATATTTACTTATATTTCTGAAATTTAATTTCAGATGAATTCTAAAAATTTATGCCAGTAACCTGTGGATGCCTAAAGAATTGGCCCTGGCATTTGTTGATCAAGTTAACTGAAACTATTAACATTACATCATTGTGCATTACTTGGCCCTCTGCCCATAGCCTACCAATTCATTTTTAAATGATAAAACCAATGAAAATGTTCAGTAGAAATCAAGTCTTATCTATATTTAATCCTTACTAAATATTCCTCAGTACCCTAACTTAGCTGCTTACTCAATATTCATTAGCTTATAATCTTTATGTATAGAAGGCACATGAATTTCGTTTCTTCTATAATACACATCACATAAGGTTTAGGAGAGACAAAAAAAAAAAACAAACAAACAAATAAAAAAGAGAAAAGAATATCCAGAAATATACTGTTCTTACAATTCCTTTGCACATTAATTTATAACCAGAGTTCATTTTAGTAATAGTACACATAAATCTCAGTCCTGACCTTTTCATATTGATTTTTACATGGGTAGCATGCTTGCATGTTCCATAATTTTTGTTGTTATTCTACCATTCATTTATCACTTCAAAATATAATTTGAAGCTTATTTCCTGAATGCACTTGCCTATTATTTGTTTAAAAATCAACCCGATTACTTCAGATTTACTTACAGCCTCGAAGATGGAGTTCCATGATCAGCAGGAATTGACTCCCTCTGCAGCTGAGCCTTTAGACACGAAGGAAGAGGAGTCAGAGAAGCAAAGTAAGCCTGGTGAAGACCTTAAACATGCTGCCTTAGTTTCTCAGCCAGAGACAACTGAAACTTACCCTGATAAAAAGGACATGCAAGGCACAGAAGAAGAAAAAGCACCCCCAGCTTTGTTTGGGCACACTCTTGTTGCCAGCCTGGAAGACATGAAACAGAAGACAGAACCAAGCCTTGTAGTACCTGGCATTGACCTCCCTAAAGAGCCTCCAACTCCAAAAGAACAAAAGGACTGGTTCATCGAAATGCCAACGGAAGCAAAAAAGGATGAGTGGGGTTTAGTTGCTCCAATATCTCCTGGCCCTCTGACTCCCATGAGGGAAAAAGACGTATTTGATGATATCCCAAAATGGGAAGGGAAACAATTTGATTCTCCCATGCCAAGTCCCTTTCAAGGTGGAAGCTTCACTCTTCCTTTAGATGTCATGAAGAATGAAATAGTTACAGACACATCACCCTTCACCCCTGCCTTTTTACAGCCAGATGACAAAAAATCTCTGCAACAAACCAGTGGCCCAGCTACTGCCAAAGATGGTTTTAACATTGAAGAGCCCTATGAGGATAAACCTGACAAAACGGCAGAAGCACCACCCTCAGAGGCAATGACCTTACCCAAAGATGCTCACATTCCAGTTGTAGAAGAACATGTTACAGGGAAAGTTTTAGAGGAAGAAAAGGAGGCCATAAATCAAGAGACTGTACAGCAGAAAGATACTTTCACCCCCAGTGGACAGGAACCTATACTTACTGAAAAGGAACTTGAGCTGAAGCTTGAAGAAAAAACCACCATTTCTGACAAAGAAGCTGTGCCGAAAGAGAGTAAACCCCCAAAACCTGCAGATGAAGAAGCAGGCATAATTCAGACCTCCACAGAGCATATTTTCTCAGAACAGAAAGACCAAGAGCCTACCACAGATATGTCGAAACAGGACTCGTTCCCTGTAAGTTTGGAGCAAGCCGTTACAGATTCAGCCATGACCTCTAAAACACTGGAGAAAGCCATGACCGAACCATCTGCATTAATTGAAAAGAGCTCAATTCAGGAACTTTTTGAAATGAGAGTTGATGACAAAGATAAGACTGAAGGGGTTGGAGCTGCAACATCAGCTGAGCTTGACATGCCATTTTATGAAGATAAATCAGGAATGTCCAAGTACTTTGAAACATCTGCCTTGAAGGAAGAAGCAACAAAAAGCATTGAGCCAGGCAGTGATTACTATGAACTGAGTGACACTAGAGAAAGTGTCCATGAGTCTATTGATACCATGTCTCCCATGCATAAAAATGGTGACAAGGAGTTTCAAACAGGAAAAGAACCCCAGCCCAGTCCTCCAGCACAAGAAACAGGGTACAGCACTCTCGCACAGAGTTATCCATCTGATTTACCTGAAGAACCCAGTTCTCCTCAAGAAAGAATGTTCACTATTGATCCAAAAGTGTATGGAGAGAAAAGGGACCTCCACAGTAAGAATAAGGACGATTTGACCCTCAGCAGGAGTTTAGGACTTGGTGGTAGGTCTGCAATAGAACAAAGAAGCATGTCAATCAATTTGCCTATGTCTTGCCTAGATTCCATAGCCCTTGGATTTAACTTTGGTCGGGGACATGATCTTTCTCCTCTGGCTTCCGATATTCTAACCAACACTAGTGGAAGTATGGATGAAGGGGATGATTACCTTCCAGCCACCACACCTGCACTAGAGAAAGCCCCTTGCTTCCCCGTAGAAAGCAAAGAGGAGGAACAGATAGAGAAAGTAAAAGCTACCGGAGAAGAAAGTACTCAAGTGGAGACATCATGTGAGTCTCCTTTCCTAGCCAAAGATTTTTACAAAAATGGTACTGTCATGGCACCAGACCTGCCTGAAATGCTAGATCTGGCAGGCACAAGGTCAAGACTGGCTTCTGTGAGTGCAGATGCTGAGGTTGCCAGGAGGAAATCAGTCCCATCAGAGACTGTGGTTGAGGATACTCGTACTGGTTTGCCCCCGGTAACTGATGAAAACCATGTCATTGTAAAAACGGACAGTCAGCTCGAAGACCTGGGCTACTGTGTGTTCAATAAATACACAGTCCCATTGCCATCACCTGTTCAAGACAGTGAGAATTTATCAGGGGAGAGTGGTTCCTTTTATGAAGGCACTGATGATAAAGTTCGAAGAGATTTGGCCACAGACCTTTCATTGATTGAAGTGAAACTGGCAGCAGCCGGAAGAGTCAAAGATGAGTTCAGTGTTGACAAAGAAGCATCCGCGCATATCTCTGGTGACAAATCAGGACTGAGTAAGGAGTTTGACCAAGAGAAGAAAGCTAATGATAGGTTGGATACTGTAATAGAAAAGAGTGAAGAACATGCTGATTCAAAAGAACATGCCAAGAAAACTGAAGAGGCTGGTGATGAAGTAGAAACATTCGGATTAGGAGTAACCTATGAGCAAGCTTTGGCCAAAGATTTGTCAATACCAACAGATGCATCCTCTGAGAAAGCGGAGAAGGGTCTTAGTTCAGTGCCAGAGGTAGCTGAGGTAGAATCATCCAAAAAGGTGGAACAAGGTCTGGATTTTGCTGTCCAGGGTCAACTAGATGTTAAAATTAGTGACTTTGGACAGATGGCTTCAGGGCTAAACATAGATGATAGAAGGACAACAGAGCTAAAACTTGAGGCTACACAGGACATGACCCCCTCATCCAAAGCACCACAGGAGGTAGATGCATTTATGGGTGTCGAGTCTGGCCACATGAAAGAAGGCATCAAAGTTAGTGAGACAGAAGTCAAAGAGAAGGTGGCCAAGCCTGACTTGGTGCACCAGGAGGCTGTAGACAAGGAGGAGTCCTATGAGTCTAGTGGTGAGCATGAAAGTCTTACCATGGAGTCCTTGAAAGCTGATGAGGGCAAGAAGGAAACATCTCCAGAATCATCTCTAATTCAAGATGAGATTGCTGTCAAACTGTCGGTGGAAATACCTTGCCCACCTGCTGTTTCAGAGGCTGATTTAGCCACAGATGAGAGAGCTGATGTCCAGATGGAATTTATTCAGGGGCCGAAAGAAGAAAGCAAAGAGACCCCAGATATATCCATCACGCCTTCTGATGTTGCAGAGCCATTGCATGAAGCAATCATATCTGAACCAGCAGAGATTCAGAGTGAGGAAGAAGAGATAGAAGCCCAGGGAGAATATGATAAACTGCTCTTCCGCTCAGACACCCTTCAGATTACTGACCTGGGTGTCTCAGGTGCCAGGGAGGAATTTGTGGAGACCTGCCCAGGTGAACACAAAGGAGTGATTGAGTCTGTTGTGACCATCGAGGATGATTTCATCACTGTAGTGCAAACCACAACTGATGAAGGGGAGTCAGGGTCCCACAGCGTGCGTTTTGCAGCACTAGAGCAGCCTGAGGTGGAAAGGAGACCATCTCCTCATGACGAAGAAGAGTTTGAAGTAGAAGAGGCAGCTGAAGCCCAGGCAGAACCCAAAGATGGTTCCCCAGAGGCTCCAGCTTCCCCTGAGAGAGAAGAGGTTGCATTTTCTGAATATAAGACAGAAACCTATGACGATTACAAAGACGAGACCACCATTGACGACTCCATCATGGACGCTGACAGCCTCTGGGTGGACACTCAAGGTGTGCATTATTATTATTTTTTTTTAATTTTCTACTCTCAACTCAAACACAATAACCTTATGGGATTTTTTTTTTCACTTAAACTTTTTAAAATACCTCTTTATCTCTTTGTTTTGCATTTTGTTAAATATACAAAGGATTTTGTACACTTGTTACTAATGTTTTCACTGTTGTTGTTGTTGTTGTTGTTGTCATGATTTGCTTTGATCCACAGATGATGATAGGAGCATCATGACAGAACAGTTAGAAACTATTCCTAAAGAGGAGAAAGCTGAAAAGGAAGCTCGGAGATCATCTCTTGAGAAACATAGAAAAGAAAAGCCTTTTAAAACCGGGAGAGGCAGAATTTCCACTCCTGAAAGAAAAGTAGCTAAAAAGGAACCTAGCACAGTCTCCAGAGATGAAGTGAGAAGGAAAAAAGGTTCATTTAACAATCACTTCTTTAAAAATGTTTTTGAAGTAATTCATTATTACTTTTTTGCAGAAGAACTGCCTAACAGTGGTAACTAATTATTTATAAAATTTCGTTCGGTTTTGCTCCAAGTGTTTATTTTTTCCTGATGGTATGCTTTTTGTGTTTTCTTATTCATAGCAGTTTATAAGAAGGCTGAACTTGCTAAAAAAACAGAAGTTCAGGCCCACTCTCCCTCCAGGAAATTCATTTTAAAACCTGCTATCAAATATACTAGACCAACTCATCTCTCCTGTGTTAAGCGGAAAACCACAGGTGACTGTTCAATTCTGCAATGTGACTGGCAAACATAGACATGTATTTTTTTTTTTAAATCTCATTACTGTAGCAGCTTCTTCATTTTGTTTTTCTTCCAAGAATCTCAGCAGTTATGAAAAATTTGCTATTAAGTGTCTTGTATCATTATTCTTTTTTTCCCCCTCCTTACAGAAAAGGTCATGACCATCTGTTTCTTTGTCATGCTCAGACATAACAGTGCGTGATTGTATCTTGGCATTGTGCTCTAGTGTCACGTTCTGGGGATTCCTATTTTCATTCTGTGTGTTTGGTTAGACGATGGCGATGAATTTAACTGTGGTATGCATTCTCATTATTTTGCTTATTTATCCCTCTCATGCTTAAACCCATAAATATTTGTCCTATTTTCTACATTGTTACTGCCAAATCTGTTACTGATGTTGATGAATTTATTGAAAACCACCAAGAATGTGTAGTGATTTAGATACTGAAAATGAAAAGCAAGCCAGGAAGTGAAATTGTGGTTTACAAAATTACTATGACTTTGCTTTTGTTGGAAAAAAAAAAAAAAAAAGAAAACAAAATTTTCTGGTAATTATATCAGATTTTATTCCTCATATCCAAAATTAACAAGGTTTTCACTCTACTAAACTACATCTCTTAGCTGACCTTGTGTCATGGAGATTTTCTTAAATATGTTGGATCCAAACTACTCAACTTTTCTATAGAATTTAGT